TTTAACCTGTTGCTGCTCTTTGGTCATTTTTGACCGAAAATATATACATTTTGTTTGTTTGTTTTTTAACATTATTTTCTTCATCCAAATGGTACACAACTCTGTAAAGGTTTTGGCACTTGCTGTGAAAAAAAATGGACATGATTTATACAGTATATACAGGTCCTTCTCAAAAAATTAGCATATTGTGATAAAGTTAATTATTTTCCATAATGTAATGATAAAAATTAAACTTTCATATATATTTTAGATTCATTCCACACCAACTGAAATATTTCAGGTCTTTTATTGTTTTAATACTGATGATTTTGGCATACAGCTCATGAAAACCCAAAATTCCTGTCTCAAAAAATTAGCATATTTCATCCGATCAATAAAAGAAGTGTTTTTAATAAAAATAAAAAAGTCAACCTTCAAATAATTATGTTCAGTTATGCACGCAATACTTGTTCGGGAATCCTTTTGCAGAAATGACTGCTTCAATGCGGCGTGGCATGGAGCCAATCAGCCTGTGGCACTGCTGAGGTGTTATGGAGGCCCAGGATGCTTCGATTACGGCCTTAAGCTCATCCAGAGTGTTGGGTCTTGCGTCTCTCAACTTTCTCTTCACAATATCCCACAGATTCTCTATGGGGTTCAGGTCAGGAGAGTTGGCAGGCCAATTGAGCACAGTAATACCATGGTCAGTAAACCATTTACCAGTGGTTTTGGCACTGTGAGCAGGTGCCAGGTCGTGCTGAAAAACTAAATCTTCATCTCCATAAAGCTTTTCAGCAGATGGAAGCATGAAGTGCTCCAAAATCTCCTGATAGCTAGCTGCATTGACCCTGCCCTTGATAAAACACAGTGGACCAACACCAGCAGCTGACATGGCACCCCAGACCATCACTGACTGTGGGTACTTGACACTGGACTTCAGGCATTTTGGCATTTCCTTCTCCCCAGTCTTCCTCCAGACTCTGGCACCTTGATTTCCGAATGACATGTTAAACTGAGCAACAGTCCAGTGCTGCTTCTCTGTAGCCCAGGTCAGGCGCTTCTCCCGCTGTTTCTGGTTCAAAAGTGGCTTGACCTGGGGAATGCGGCACCTGTAGCCCATTTCCTGCACACGCCTGTGCACGGTGGCTCTGGATGTTTCTACTCCAGACTCAGTCCACTGCTTCCGCAGGTCCCCCAAGGTCTGGAATCGGTCCTTCTCCACAATCTTCCTCAGGGTCCGTTCACCTCTTCTCGTTGTGCAACGTTTTTTGCCACACTTTTTCCTTCCCACAGACTTCCCACTGAGGTGCCTTGATACAGCACTCTGGGAACAGCCTATTTGTTCAGAAATTTCTTTCTGTGTCTTACCCTCTTGCTTGAGGGTGTCAATGATGGCCTTCTGGACAGCAGTCAGGTCGCAGTCTTACCCATGATTGCGGTTTTGAGTAATGAAACAGGCTGGGAGTTTTTAAAAGCCTCAGGAATCTTTTGCAGGTGTTTAGAGTTAATTAGTTGATTCAGATGATTAGGTTAATAGCTCGTTTAGAGACCCTTTTCATGATATGCTAATTTTTTGAGACAGGAATTTTGGGTTTTCATGAGCTGTATGCCAAAATCATCAGTATTAAAACAATAAAAGACCTGAAATATTTCAGTTGGTGTGCAATGAATCTAAAATATATGAAAGTTTAATTTTTATCATTACATTATGGAAAATAATGAACTTTATCACAATATGCTAATTTTTTGAGAAGGACCTGTATATATATATTCGTGTGTGTGTGTGTGTGTGTGTGTGTATATATATATATATATATATATATATATATATATATATATATATATATATATATATATATATATATTCATGTTAAACTATAAAATCTAAATCAAGTACAATAGTAGCTGACTATGAAGGCATTTTCTGGTCCCATATTTTGAAACCTGGGATTATTTTTGTCACTTTTTTTTCATTTCTGAGCTGAGACAGATTGCTCGTGGCATCAGTAGATCAGTAGATCAGCTGTACTGTACTGGAATCACCTCTAGTTTAATCTGGCAGCGTCTCTGTTTAGTCCAGTTTTGTCGTGTGAGTTTGTCTGATATCATTACAGGAGCGATGAGAGGGCGACAGTGTTTCTGAACTGTATGCTCTTCTTCATTTCCTATAATAATCCTACAATAATGGCTGTTCAGTTGACGTACATGCAGCAGATCCTGCATTCCTACTTTGGTTTGTAGTTCTAATTGTGTCTTTTTCAGGCATTCTTTCCATTCTGTTTGGTTAAGTTGCATCAAATGGTGAAACGATACTCAACAGCCATGTTCCAGCTCTCTTTCTGGCTTTGTGGTCAGGCGTCCCTGTTTCGCTCGCTCACAGCGGCCCAGCAGACGGCCTGTCGTTTCCACTAATGAAGTGACACCGCAATGCCCAGTTGCCCACCACAAACATGCAGTCGTGTTTTAATCCAAGCCGTAATCATATGCTTGAGAGAAAGAATCCCAAGGCCGGAGAACCAGCATGCATTGCAGGAAACCCAGAGGAAGTCGTCGGTTACGAGTCACTCCGCCACACTGTGACTCGGACTGAAATAAGTCTGTCATAATAATAACATCCAGGTTGAGTAGACGAGAGTTTGACCGCTCTTTCTGTTTGTAGTCTTTCCAAGAAGTAAGACATGCACTCGTGCTTTTACACGTGTGCGTTTCTGCCATAGTTTTAACCCTGTAAAGGCTGACATATGAAATAATAGTCCGAGGAAAAAATCGAAATGATTGGAAATAGAACAGTTTATTGAACCTTTAGACAAGATATAAAAAAGTCTGAGCAAATGTTTTGTATCATATTTGATACATCAGGCTTTTATTGCTCATATAGTATGATGTAGTTAGAATATGGAGGCAACAACACCTCAATTTTATTCACAGACCCAAACTGAGCGAACGCATGCCGTTTGGTTCAGATGCTGATATTAATATGGCCAAAAAGTACGATACTTACAATTCTGATAGCTTGTAATGTAAATCAATGAGAGGATTTTTTCAACAAAAAAATATATATATGTATGGATTATCAGGTAAACCTAATCAGTTAGTGTTCATCTTGAAATATTACTAACAATATCAAAGTTATTATTCTTACGTTTACTTCAGTAAAGATTTTACAGAAAGATAGACATCACAAGCTCAAGGTAGATGTTTTTAAAATGATACTAAAAGTCATTTTACTTGCTAAAAAAGTATAAACTATCAATCAGACAACAGAAGGCATGTAGTAGATTGTGTGCAACAGGTTTTTCAGCAAAGTTTTGATCATGTTGATCATTTAGAGATTTGCATATCAAAGGATACAGTAGCTTTATATGGTTAAATAGCATCTCTAAACCTTGTTCTATTTGATCTGTTATGTACTAACCTTAACTGTTAATCTCTCTCAACTATTCAGTTTTAAAGACTTTAAAGGGTTAGTTCACCCAAAAATGAAAATTCTGTCAGTATTTACTCACCCTCATGTTGTTCCAACCCCGTAAGACCTTCGTTCATCTTCGGAACACGAATTAAGATATTTTTGATTAAATCTGACAGCTGGATCACTCCTCCATACTCCAGGCCCAAAGAGATGGACATGAATACTTGAAATAAAGTCGTTATTTTTGTTTGTTTTTGCGCACAAAAAGTATTCTCGTCGCTTGATAAACTTAAGATTGAGCCACTGTAGTCACTTGGACTATTTTAACAATGTCTTTAATAACTTTTCGAGGCCGGCAAGTTCAATCCCTTAAGAAGCCTATGGAGGAGTGATCCAGCTCTCAGATTTCATCAAAAATATCTTAATTCGTGTTCCGAAGATGAACGAAGGTCTTACAGGGTTGGAACAACATGAGGGTGAGTAATTCCTGACAGAATTTTCATTTTTGGGTGAACTAACCCTTTAAGAATAAGAAACCCGGGCCGAGTTTAATGCTGTTTTTCTGTTGCTATTATAATGTAATCAAAAAGAAAAGTGTTGTTCTTCAATAATAAGTGGAAGTTATTTTAATGCATTTACACTAGGGCTGTCAAATGATTAATCACGATTAATCACATCCAAAATAAAAGTTTTTTTTACATAATATATGTGGGTGCACTGTGTATAATTATTTTGTATATATATAAATACACACACATGCATGTATATTTAAGAAAAAAATATAATTTATATATAAAATATTTATATTTATATATAATATAAATTATATATAAATCTATATACAGTATATACATGAAAATATTTCTTAAATATATACAAGCATGTGTGTGTATTTATATATATAAAATAATTATACACAATGCACCCACATATATTATGTAAAAAAAACTTTTATTTTGGATGTGATTAATCATGATTAATCATTTGACAGCCCTAATTTACACCAATTTTTTTATTTTATTTTTTATAAACTCTGTCTTGAAACCTGGGTTTACAAATGTTTTTGATAGATTATGGAAGATTATGCAGACAAACATTTTTCTTTAGAATAACGTGCTCTGATGTGTGTTTCACAAAAGCAGGAACATCAGATATCAAATATGATCCATCAGGCGTCTGAGGAAGGTTTATTTCTTCATCTCTCAATCATCATTGCATTGCACTGCATTATATCTTTTAAAACTACAGAGGTTTGATCATAAACAGAATTTAAATATCATCTAACTAAGACACATTATTGGCAGATATACAATCAGTGACGACTGCATTTTATGTAAGTAGTCTGCTATACTGTTATAAAGATTTACAATTAGAAGCTAATAGTCTGGCTCAGTGTGAAAGCAGTGGATGTTGATCTCATGCAGCCGGTCGCTCGGTGTTGCAGCGCACCGGAAGGATTGTTGTGTTAGATGGAGAGGGGGAGTGTGTTTGAGTGACAGGCAGCTGTTTGATGTGGAATCCAGGTGAGATGGCTCGAGGCCGGGCACGTTACGCTGGAGCTCCAGAGTCCTGAACCGTCATTGATCTCCTTCATCTGGGTCTTTTCTGACAGGAGCTGGAAGGGCGTCTGACCAGAGCGGCTGCGTGTTTGTTTTCCGTGCGGTGGAGGGGCGTTTCTGACGGATAAACCCAGACTAGAGGGAATGTAGCGAACTCGTCTACAGGCTGTGTGATTGATCAAATTGTCCAAAGTCAACAGAGCAAACAGATAACATACCCGGTACGCGAGGGCTTTCGAGAGTTGCCAGTGAAGCATTTAATGCTCTCGTGTGCATCAGCAAACCGCCACATGTTTTAAGATTTTAAAGGAATAGTTCACTCAGAAACTACAGAGCTGTTGTTTACTCACCCTCATGTCTTGTTAAAGTTGTTTTCCTGTATATGAAGCACAAAATTCATCTCAAAGTGCATCTCAAATCTACTGTAAAGCTACAAGGTTATTAATCTATCTGCTTCTTTTAAAGCCGCATTATTTCTGCTTAATAATTTGTAAAATAATCATAATAAACAGCGGAGTTCTTAGTGAAAAACTACATTACCCATGATGCTGTACAGAAATTGACACCAATCAGTGCGTCAAAAAAGCAACACGCGCCAAAAGCCCCACCCACTGCCATGAAGCACTACGAATGATGTAATCGAGACAATCTCTCCAAGCTCTCAAAATACTTCAATATTTGTATGTGTGTATATATATATATTAGTGCTGTCAAACGATTAAAATATTTAATCGCGATTAATCGCATTAATGTCATAGTTAAACTCGCGATTAATCGCAATTAATCGCACATTTTTATCTATTCTAAATGTCTCTTGATTTCTTTTTGTCCCATTATTTTTTCTCATTTTAATGCTCTTATCAACATGGAAAAGTGGATCGGCTTGCTTTGTGCAAATGTTTTTTATTGTTTTTTATTGTTTTTATTGAATATAGTGGCATATACTGTGTTCAAATTCACACTAACATTCTCACTTGGAGCAAATAATCTCTCACACAATGTAACACTGTCCATCAATAAAAGGGTGAAAGAAATACTGACGAGGTCCTGATATTGACGAGGGGGCGGAAAATTAGCATCAGCTGTGTGTGTGTGTGTGTGATTTCAGACTGGACGTGCTGCGATGATGATAGCTCAGTTCACAACGACAAAACACACACAGATCACTTTGGTCTTGTCAATGGAACCATTTGGCAACTTTTTAAAAGTAAACTTTCCATTCAGAATCTTATTGGCATCTATTTCGGCGTCTCGCGCTCGTCATCCACTCAAAATGTAACGTTAACCACCTATTTGGCCAGCTCGCAAGCCAAAACGAGTGTGTGCGGCGTCATGCCTGTTGTTTTGTTTCCGGTCTAGCTAGATCCGCTTGCGCTTTGGTCGACGAAGCAACAAAACGTGCATGCCACGTCCTGTTGCAAAAGCATGTGAAAAAAACTACAAAATTTGCTAGGCCAAACGCGTTAATCGCGCGATAAAAAAATTGACGCCGTTAAAATGGGTTTGCGTTAACATCGTTAATAACGCGTTTAACTGACAGCCCTAATATATATATAATATATATATATGCATTGTTGCAAGGTTAGTTGATAAGGAAAGGAGGCGGGAACAGGCGAACGTTCAAACATATTTTTAATTTTAAATAAACAATAAAATGAAAGTTAAGTAAAGGGCCAGCCCCTCACGGACGACTGCCCACACAAATAAACAAAACCTGTTCCTCTCTCGAACTCCTCAGGATTGAGTTCCTCGAGACCGGTGTGGACGCTCATTATCAATCGAGCGACTGGCCTCGCACCGTCCTCACGGCTCTTGGCCCCGCCCTGCTTGCCACATGCATATTTTGCAATAAACTTAAAATATATATATATATATATATTTATTATTATTATTATTTTACATACATATAATCAACATTTGTAAATGAGTAGTTTTATATTTCTCCATCAAAGTCTGTAGTGTTGTGATTCAGCTCTTAGCTGATTGGCTTGGTTCATGGCTTATAGCTCTTTATCGAAGACTTTTTAAAATCCCTTTTGGAGAAATGAATGGAAAAAAATACTTCCTGAACCAACGCTGCTGAAAAAGTGGGCGGGAACTGTTGAACACCATATAAAGCATTAGTGTAATGTTATGATACTATTATGGTGCATTTAATCTTTTTTGCAGTGTGACAGGCTTTGTCACTTGGATTTGTCTCGGGGGAATTATTTCTTTAAGACAGATTCTCAGTTCGTGTTGCAACTGTACAGTATGTACTGTAGATTGAACAAATTCTTGCAAGCAGTAACCAAGCAGAAAAAGATATAGAAAATAGTAAAAGTTATTCAAGAACCTATCCTGTGTGATCGGTCTTTTACTTTTACTGTCCAAATAGACAGTTGTAGCCATTCTGAGCTATTTCACAGACACACACTGTACACACTGAATGCTTCTCTGTGACTGTGGCTGATGCTGATCTCTCTAATCAGAGACTTCTGACCTCAAATGGGAACAGATGAGCAGTTCATTGATCCACGTTTCTATTTATACGCATGTCCTCGCTGACCGAGTTGAGTTGAGTTGATGTTTAAACTATCACTTAAAGTAGCAAAGAGCCATGTTTTCTTCTTGTGCACTAATTAAACAATAGGTTTAGATGTACTGTTGATTTACTAAGCGATCAGACAGATCATTTTCACCAGCTGGACCATAAAACATGAGGATAAAATCCCTTCGAAATCATGCATTGAAATCATGAAATCATTGAAATCATGCAATCTCCCTAGCAACAGCATTGCAATTTCCTGGAAACCTCCCAAGCTACCTAGCAACCACATAGCAACATCCTGGAAACCACCCAAACACCCTAGCAACATCCCGAGAACCACACAAAACCCTAGCAATCGCATAGTAGCATCCTGGAAACCACCCAAAACCATTAAAAACACCCTAGCCATTGTATAGCAACACCCAAGCAACCACATAGCAACAACCTGGAAAAAGCTCCCTAGCAACCACATAGAAACAGACTAAAATCACCGTAGGCATTGTGATTGACAGCTGTTTGGGCATTGTGCATTAGCTGTTGCTCAACCCCACTGGTGTAAAAATGTCCTGGAGGTTTTCCGGCAGTAGCTGTTGTATTTTGTGATGTGATTCACGTGTACGGCCGTGAGAGAGTTCAGGTGTGTTGAGAGGGTTGAGCGCCTGAGGCCGTGAGCAGAAACAGTCTGATTTATGGAGCAGAAGCTCTAATGGAGAGTCTGAAAGTCCAGTAAACGTCTCCTGTGATTTACACCACTCAGTAATCAATGAGATTTTACTGTCACTGATGGATGGCCATCTTTACATCCACCAGACACTCCATCTTGTACTTCATAAAGTGGGAATTTCCCAGTCTTTGAACAGGGAAGGATAATCTATAGGCAGCATTCGTGTTTCGGCCACTTTTACAGTCTCACACTAAGTCGTTTTAGTGTGTCTTTAAGCTGCTGTAGGAACAAACGCTGTCTTTATTCAGTCCTAAACGTCACAATATTCACAATGATTTTGATGCCAATATCGAAGTAAGCAACATGAATCATTTTTTAGTTCATTGTTGTCCAGGTCTCAGTGGGACTGTATTGTGAGAGTAAATGTTGACAGTAGGTTTTGTTTTATGTGTTTTTGAGTAAAGGGAAAGACTTGGTGATCGATGTTCTGTTATACTGGAGTTTCTGTGATGTTGGTGTTTTGTGGTTACTGTTATAAGAGTGGAGCTTGTGTTTAGGTTGAGTTCGTTGCTCATCCCATACATTACTGTACATTTATTAAAATAAGTTATATTTAGCAGGCTAACATGCCTTTGCCAGCTTGCAGTTAACTAAAAGAGATTCATTTGAGTTACTTTGATCGTATATTGGGCTTTACTGAATTCAAATAGAGCCCTGTTTGCTTCTAGTGCACTAGGTAAACAATAGGTTTAGATGTGCAGTTGATTTGCTACGTGATCAGATCATTTTCACCAGGTGGACCATAAAACAGAAGTACCACCCAAACACCCTAGCAATCGCATAGCAACATCCTGGAAACCACCAAATAGCAACATCTTGGAAACCACTGTAAACACCGTAGCAAACACATGTGAAATGTGAAAAACGTGTGTGTGGCGTCGCTCCCTGTGAACATGCAAGCGTCACGCGTGTGAGAGAAGCTCCTCCGCTCCAGCGCTGATGAACGTTCAGAAATCTCACGGAAAAATATTTCACAAGGAATTATATTTTGCATAAAGAAAATGTATATTTCATTGCAATTAAACACATTTTATCAATATTAAACACAAAAATCATAGTCTCATGCAATAATGATTGTTAAAAAAATGCATGAATTAAATACCACCATGCGATTTACAAAATACCCCTTGAACCAGGACCTTGAGCTAACTTTTTGCCATGCCTGCCAATGGCCGGTGACTTAAGAAAATGTACCAGACATAAATATAGTCTTCGCAAAAACAGGCAATAATGACACCAAAACTTTAGATACCAGTGAAAATTCACAATTTTCTATTTCAATTTTGATACCACAGCTAAAACATTATTAAACACAAACAATCAGTAAAAAAATAACAAATAATCAAATTCCAAGCAAAAGCACAAATAAATACAATATAACAGATATAAATGAAATAAACAATGTTTTTCAGGTACAGAAATTTAATAAAGTAAGCAAGTGTAAAATAACACTGCATAGTCTTCACTGTATAAATAAAACTTCCTTATTAATTAATCCTTATTAAAGTACAAAAGTTATTCAGTCTTGAGCAGTGTGAGATTTTTTTCTTTGTCTTTTTTTGAATGATTAACATTAAACACACAGACAGCAGCAGGAATATTAGGCCGTGTGTCCACCAAAGCGTTTTTCCACGCGCCTGGCGTATGTTTTCAATTGTTTTCAATGGGAGCGCCGCGTTTTTAGAACACCATGAGCGCAACGAGGCGCTGGATGTTTTTTTCACGCTGAAGCGCTGAGAGCTCGGCGTTTTTACTGGTCGCCGAGAGTTGAAGAATGTTCAACTTTGGATAAAACGCAGCGCTCATCACTGTCACTTTTTACCCAGCCGTCCAATCACAGTGGAGGAGGGGCGGGGCTAATACCACACCGACCAACTGTCACAACATTCTTTCTGTACAACGACATCAACCAGCAGAGCTAACCGAACAAAATGGATGAAAAATAAATTTTCAGTATGAAACAAATTATCGCTCG